CCCCCCCGGATTCTCATGAAATTTCTCGCGCGTTACAACGCGCCACCGCTCGGATAATCGCGCGGATCCGAATGCCACGGCCTCGAATTCATTTCGATGTAGATTCGTTCATTTGTTCGTTCGTTCGTTCGTTCGTTCGTTTAGCTTCGTGCTCCGTGCGAGATCACGAAATTTAGAAAGTGAATATTTTGTATTTGCATGTTTGAAAACAAAATTAATCCAACGGCGACGCCGACGGCGGCGAGGTCGTGCGAGGGTTTATTCGAGCGGACATTATGCGGTCCTGTATCGCGTTACGTGTTTCTCTCGCGGGTAATTCCGGCGCGGCAAGCGGCACAAATCAATCGATCGAATATCACGGATTTCATTAAGATTCAAAGCAGCTGCGCCGTTGCTTAGATTACAAGGTGTAGGATTTCAAACGGAATAGTACCATTTTCTAAAGACGGCGCGCGGCGATTCTCTTCCCTTCCCCGCGTGCGTCGTCGGATTCCCTTGATCCTTTATCGCACGGAAAACGCAGATAGCGTTCACGCGCGCGCTGCTGCGACGAAAGGACTCCGCATTACGTTTTATCGCGCATTACTTGTATAGTTTCCGCGATCGCATTGCCGATAATTAAAAGCTGGCAGAAAGTCTTACGGAAGCTGCCTGTAAAAATGGCCATTATACATCTAGGTCGTAATAGTAATATCCGCGCCGCGTTCTTTCCACATAAAATAAAACCCGGTCGATCAACAATTAACTTTTTAATAGCACTGTCGCGAGGAAGCATTAAATTCCGCTATTTCATGCGCTGACCCATCTGACTGAAACGTATCGGAAACTAATTGGGCTTTTTCGATAGATTAACGCGCTTCATCAACTATGCGATCGGGAAAATTTGTAATACGCAAATAAAGCGATGAACACAACTTCATTCCGTGTCTCTTAATCCCGTCGTTTTACAAATATCATTGATCATTCATGTTCGTAAATCTCCCGCGTGTAAACTACCATAGATATATTATTAATTTTTTAAATAGCTACGAGAAAACACAGCAAATATTTAGAGATAAATAATAAATAATAATTGTGTAGCAATGGCAAAACACAAAATCATTTATACGAAGCAAAAGTAAAGCAAGAATAAGTTCCCACTTCGGATTATCTCTTTGAAATAAACGCTTTCGCTGCTACTTTCAGCTAAGAGCATCTGCTCCGTTTTTACAACATTTACGGTGATCCATTGCATACACACGTGTATGTGTGCAGCATATGTATAGTTTGGAATTATTTCACATTTCACCTAATCATAAATAAGCACGCAATTCTATTAATATACGCGCGAGCATTTGCCAAAAATATACCATTTCTTCTCTACCGTGAGCTTTCGGACGCGTCCTAAATAACGGATCAAACATTCCGGCCTTGTACGCGCCCCGGCATGTGTGGGAAGTACAATTT